AGTGAATCTACCTCTGAATTTCATTTGCTTTTTCCTTCACTAAACATGTTTTGATGTTCTGATATATTCAAGGCACTGTGCAAAATGATGTATGCAATAGTCAATAGTCAGCCCTCAAGGATATTCCAGTTTGAGAAAATACAATACGTACATAAATGCCTTTCAGAAAATGTAGAAAATGTGTTATCAGAAATGTCTAAATAAAGAGTTGTGGGAAGAAGAATATCCACATAGCTATTCACCAAAATGCTAATAGTGGTTATCTCTGGGGTAGAATTTTTAAGAATTAAAATTTTTGTTTTGCTTAGCTATAGGTTTTAAGTTTCTAAAAGTAAATATGTATTATTTGTGGAAATGAACGTTTAAGTTGAAGGGATGTGGGTGGGTTGAGCAGCGGTGGGCACTTTGCATGGAGAGAATCACAGTAAACTAAGCATGAAATCAAGAAGATACAGAGTAACTGTGAGAAAGATGAGCAGTTCAGCCTGTCTAGAGACTAGTATGTGGAAGATAGAAAGGGTAGGAAATAAAGTTCGTTGGCTGGGCCTGGAGCTCCTTAAGTGCCAGGTGAGGAAGCCAGCATTTCAGAACTGAGATATTCCTGGAGACTAGAACAAACATATCCAATGTGCTGGGGAAGGCTCATGGGGCAGTAATTCTCTAACAGGAGGTAGGACTAAATCAAGATATGAAGGCAGAGCAGAATACTGGCAGGCTATGGTGATAAGAACAGTGGTAGCCTCTGGGCAATCAGTACTTAGCATCAGGAAGGTCAAACAAAGACCTTCCTCTACGAAGGCCCGGGGGAAGAAGGAGAGTGTGAACACAGGAACTAGGCAGCAGTAAATAGGCAAAGTCCCAGGAACTGGAGGGGTAGGTTTTACAGCAAGGTGATGACTTAGCAGTGGGGCTGCCATTCAAGGGAAGACTTCATTCTTTTTTATCTTTTTTTAAATCAGTTAATTAATTTTTGGCTACGTTGGGTCTTCGTTGCTGCACGCGGGCTTTCTCTAGTTGCGGCAAGCAGGGGCTACTCTTCGTTGCGGTGCCTGGGCTTCTCATTGCAGTGGCTTCTCTTGCTGCGGAGCACAGGCCGTAGGTGCGTGAGCTTCAGTAGTCATGGCACGCGGGCTCAGTAGTTGTGGCTCACGGGCTCTAGAGCACAGACTCAGTAGTTGTGGCACACGGGCTTAGTTGTTCTGCAGCATGTGGGATCTTCCCGGACCAGGGATCAAACCCGTGTCCCCTGCATTGGCAGGCAGATTCTTAACAACTGTGCCACCAGGGAAGTCCCTGGGAAGACTTCATTCTCAACAATAACAGAGAGAGCAAGGGGCAGAGAGATTAAAGAGGAAGAAATCAGGGAGAGAGACTGGGAAATATATGTGAGAAGAATGATAAAGACAATCCTGAGTCAGTATGTTTTCATGCAGGGATTTCTTACATGTTGTAGAGGCAGGTCCTGAAAGTTGAAGCTGAAGGCTTGAACCATGAACTGGCCAGCTGTGCACTTTCTAGAAAAATACAGAGACAATACCTTAATTACTGGTATGAACATATATATATACCTATTTTCTTTCTTGGCTTTGCACATATTTGGACTAGATTCTGTACAGAGCAATTTTTTTTTTTGCGGTACGCGGGCCTCTCACTGTTGTGGCCTCTCCCATTGCGGAGCACAGGCTCCGGATGTGCAGGCTCAGCGGCCATGGCTCACGGGCCCAGCCGCTCCGTGGCATGTGGGATCTTCCTGGACCGGGGCACGAACCCGTGTCCCCTGCATCCACAGGTGGACTCTCAACCACTGCACCACCAGGGAAGCCCTGTACAGAGTAATTTTAAAAAGAGGTATAAACCCCAAGCTACTACTACTAAATTGGCATTTTCTTTCACTGTTTCAATTATTATCAAATATTACTTCACAACTCTAGGTATACCTTTAGGCCTACATAGACTCCCACTTTATTCTTATTTTCTAGAGTCAGAGATCATGACTGATCACTCTAGTGGCCTTCAGTGGTAGACAGGGCTTGAGGTTTAGGCCTCACTGCAGCAAAACCTTTAATTAATTTTAGGGAAGCCAAATATTAAGTACTTGCTGAGCCTTCCAATTCTCGCCTACTTGCAGCATGATGTCCTGTAGAGGTGTTCTTCCCTTTTCCCTTGCGCATATAGTGGCCAGCTCTGCCACTGCCAGTGTGACCTCTGGCAAGTCCCTAACCTCCCTGAGCCTTAGACTCATCTGTAAATTATGTGCAGGAGTTGAATTATGACTTAAAAGATATTACAGCTCTAAACTTCTAGGATCCTGATACAATACTAAATAAACTTCATTAATAGTATAATTAATTACTAAAGTTCCAGAATATTGAGTGCATGGAGAAAAGGCTCTAACTGATAAAACTGTTGGAAACAACTGGGATAAACAAAGAAATTAAAAAAAAAATATTTTTCATTTTTAGTTGCCCACTGTCCCCAACATTTATGTAATGGAACTAATTAGGCTTTCTATGTTTAAAAATCATAACTTTCTAAAATGCTTCACAACATTGGGGCTTGAGTTAATCGTAGCTCTTTTGAAAGGAAGAATCACATTAATACTGATGATTTTCCTGAATGTTATGACTGAATTGATGACAAACCTGTGAAGCACTGATCATAGCTCATTTTGTGATTTGCATGGCTAGGCTAGTTTAGAATTGTGGCATTATTCCTAATAAGACATTCCCAATTGGAGAAAGAATGATTCATAGAGGATAAGATTTAAATGACAAGAGCAATTCCAGAAACAAAGCGGAGAGTGAGATTAGAGAAGACAGGCATCTTCAGAAACGAAGCTTTAGCGGTAGTTGGAAAAGAAGAATGTGCAAGTCTTCAAATAATGGGAGACTGAAATACGATTACCCTACTGCCTAAAGACTAATTTTAATTACATATTAAATATACAAACATTTTGGTAGTGGTGGGGCGTAAAAATGCAGTTTTTACTTCTCTCGCAATTCCTTTTTTTTTCTTCTTTTTTTTTTTTTTTGCGATACGCGGGCCTCTCACTGCTGTGGCCTCTTCCGTTGCAGAGCACAGGCTCTGGACGCGCAGGCTCAGCGGCCATGGCTCACGGGCCCAGCCGCTCCGCGGCATGTGGGATCTTCCTGGACCGGGGCACGAACCCACTTCCCCTGCAAGGGCAGGCGGACTCTCAACCACTGCGCCACCAGGGAAGCCCCAATCCCTGTTTCTTGCTTTCCAGATGTCTCAGGGTTTTCTCCTGTATCAGGCTGAACCAGCCCACCAGGTTCAAGTACTCTGCCATCACATCCTAGGTGTGCTTTGGAGCCATGACGCACACTAAGAAAGGTAGGGCAGGAATATGAACATTTAAACTACAGAAAGGAAGAAGAAAGGGAAGGTATACCTGAGACTGATGGAAAGAGAGGGAAGGAAGAGTGCTAGGCATATGAAAAGAAAGTGCAAGGAAAAGGCAGCGGGGTTGGGGTTGGCTTCACTATCTCTCAATTTGGTACATTGGTGGTTTGATTCTGGTGGCAGGGAGGGGCCCCGCTTCCTCAGCATGGTGCTGTTGGGCTCTCCTTATTGCAAAAGGGCGGCCAAGGGCTTCCCCGGTGGTACAGTAGTTAAGACTCTGCCTGCCAATGCAGGGGACACGGGTTCGAGCCCAGGTCTGGGACGATCCCACATGCCGCGGGGCAACTAAGCCTGTGTGCCACAACTACAGAGCCTGCGCTCTAGAGCCCGTGAGCCACAACTACTGAGGCCGCGTGCTACAACTACTGAGCCCGAGTGCTACAACTACTGAAGCCTATGCGCCTAAAGCCTGTGTTCTGCAACAAGAGAAGCCACTGCAATGAGAAGCCCACGCACCGCAACGAAGAGTAGCCCCAGCTCGCCGCAACTAGAGAAAGCCCGCGTGCAGCAACGAAGACCCAACGCGGCCAAAAATAAAAATAATAAAAAAATTAATTAAAAAAAAAGTGTCCAAGTTCTGGAGCCGGTTCTCCACGTAGAGCACAGCACCGGCGCTTCCACTTGGTGGGGAGGTTGGCCCTGCACCCAAGTGTTCCTCGGCCCTGGAGGGCAGATTACATCATCCCAACTTGAGCAGCGTGGTCAGTTTTTCCCATTTCAAACTCCTGCTCTCTTGAACGCCAACTCTGGTTCCTTAAGTAAACCGCGACGGAGCTTAATGTTTCCCCCGCCCCGACTAGCCACGAGAGAGGGCACTCAGGATGCGCCTCATTTTAGCGAAGAGGCTATTAAATAACCCAGGGCGCTACTTTTTCTCACATTTACGACTACAGCTACACAGGAACACACGGCGACCCAAGCTCTTGGCTGCGCCAAGACTCTCAGCGAAACACACGCGCCAAACGCGGCCCGAAGCATCCTCAGCTGAGCCCGGAGAGCGAGCGACCCGAGGAGGAAAACGGTGGATGTCAAAGGGCTACTCCAGCATGCCGCGCCTGCGCAGTCACTAGGCAGCGCCCCCCCGCGGGGCGTGCTCGTAACGCCGCGCACCCTATCAGACGGCCGCAGGGAGCGCGCCCGCGGCCTCGCCCTCTCTCGCCCCTCCCCTCTCTAGTCTCCGTCGGGGCTTAGACTGAGGCTCGGAGACCTGGAGCTCCACTCTGCGCCCCCGCGGGCCCCCACGCTCTCTGGCGCGCGTGCGCAGAGGCGGCCCACAGGGCGAGGGCGCGAGGGGAGGGCGGGCGTACGTCCTTGCGTGCGTCTTAGGCAGCGCGCACGCCGGCGTGAGAGGGCACGGGGAAAAGGTGGCTCTGGCCGGGGCGGCTCGGTTTCCTGTGGCTATGTAGCTGAGCTCGTCGGCTCCGGGTCCTCCTTCGCTGCCATCGCCGCGTCCTAACGCGGAGCGGCTGCTCGCGAGGGATACTGTCTTCACGCCCGCCGCTCTCCCTCGACGGCCGAGCTTGCTTGCTCGCCCGTGGGAGCGTCCCGGCCGAGCAGCCCTGAGGGGGGAGGGGAGGCCATTTTGTCCCGACCGACTCCCCGGAACCGGGCGGAGCGGCTGGGAGAGGCTGTGGAGCCGCGGTCGCCGCCCTCGGAGGCACCGGACGCTTCCACCGTCGGGGCTTCCTAGACGAGGCTGTTCCTAGGTCGCCCGCGCCCTCTCGAGCCCTCCTTTTTCCCACGCTTTCCCGGTCCTCCGGCCTGAGAACGCCCGAGAGAGGAGGAGTTGGCCGTAGTGCGAGGGACCGATCCCTTGGGGCCGCCGGCGGCGAGAGCCTGTGCCGCTCCTCCCAATGGCGAAGAAGACGTACGACCTGCTTTTCAAGCTGCTCCTGATCGGGGACTCGGGAGTGGGGAAGACCTGCGTCCTTTTTCGTTTTTCGGATGATGCCTTCAATACCACCTTTATTTCCACCATAGGTAAGACCTGTGGGAGGGTGGTGTGCGGTCTCTGCATCTGCAAACCGTTTCTTTTATTCCAGACATCTTGCTTCCAGTAATATACGCCTTTGTTTCAGTGATTCTGATTCCAGGCGACAGACCCAAGTTACTGTTTGAATCGGCATCGAGCTTTCTGGGGCGGGGTCTTCCCAAGCTTTGCATCCGGTCTTTTGCTTTCAAGTCTCTCACTGTGCTCAGTGCCTGCTGTTACAAAATATGCAGCATTAACAGCGTTCCAGAATCCTATTTCTTTAAGCGTCTGGATTGGCTTTTTCCATGTTTGTGTGGCGTTACTAGCTGTACGATATTTGTAAGGGATTTATTTTGGTGGTTGGGACTGAAGCACTAGGAGTCATTTGGTAAAGGCCTGGATTCATACTTCAGGGCAAAGAAGATTCCATATGGTCTTAAAGTAAACTTGAGGATTTGTGTGAGGAATAATTAAGGCAAATTAGAAGGGAAAAGTGAGTTGCTCGGCGTTGACTAATCCATTGATATGTCAAAACAATCGGAGGCTCTTCGTGCTTGGGGTGGGACTCTCTGGCATGTTTGCTCACAGAGCTGTTCAAGACATCAACAGAAGCAGTAATCTAATGGAGACGATCAGAACCCGAAAGAATGAAGTTCTCCCTTCTGTTTACGCTAGAATTTACAGAGAAGTGTCTTGCCAGTCATAGCCTTGGGACTTCTAATGTACTTTTCACCTCATGTTTCAGAATTATTTAATGTGAAAGTAAGAGCTAAAGATTGACCTTTTAAATCGGTTTCCCGTTTAGGAAAAGAAAAGGGAACGCTCTAGGAAAGTCCCATTTGACTCTGCTGAGACAATTTAGTGCATTAACACGAATTGTGTTAAATGGGTTGTATGCGAAATCCGTTCCCCACCCCACACAATAAATATCTTAAAGGACACATAGTTGTCTCTGTCACTTGGGGCCCAGAACACAGCGTTGGGGCAGTGCAATGAAACCCATTTTTAAGTGTAACTAGTTTTATATTAAGATGAGTTTTTAAAAAAGCAACTGTAGTCTTTGAACTCTGGCAATTGTCACAATTAAGCTGATTTCAAACAGTTTATAGCATTTGGAATCGTTGATTTGGATTTCTTGTGATAAATATTTGTCAGCTACTTAATTCATTCTCATAAAACAAATTTTACTGACTTTAAATTGGGCAAGTGATCATTTTAACTACGTTTTGATTTTACTCCCTTTTTTGGGGGGGAGGGGGTCATTGTAATCATTTCCTGAGTGTCATACTGCTCTCTAGACCTGTCATAAATGTCACGAAACTTAGAACTTGTTCTCTGCCTGTGGGTTAGCACTTCCTACCACTATGTTTACTTTTAATATTCCACTTTTAGCTGTGTCTGGGTGGGTCAGGTAGTTAGATAGTTCAGTAAATATTTATTGAGCACCTAATGCTAGGCACTGTTTTAGGCACTGGGGATAGATAAGTGAACACACAATAGACCTCTTAAGGAGCAGTCTAGTGAGGACAATCACAGTAGACTGTGGAAAGTGCTACAGTGGAGGTAAGCATGGGAAGGAGGGGTGACTAGCCCAAATTAGGCGCTTGCATGGAGATGGTGCCTAAAATGAAGTCTGAAGGACAAATAGGAATTGGACCACAGGGGTGGGATAGGGCCTTTCTGGAAAAGGGAGCATTGAATAAACCTGTAGTAAGATCAGGGATTTAATTCACGCGGTCAACTTTAACCTTTCGTTGAGAAGGGTTGGGGGTGGAGGGTAGGAAGCAAAACATTAACTCCATCTACTCTTGTCTTTTTTAATGAGTGCATACCCTCAACTAAAGCCCAATCCTGTAAGATAATGACATAATCTTCTTGTGTAGTCTTTCTTTTTTACTTTTTTTTTTTTTTGGCTGCCCCGCAAGACTTGTGGGACCTTAGTTCCCTGACCAGGGATTGGACCTGCGCCCTCTGCAGTGAAAGCTGGGAGTCCTAACCACTGAACCGCCAGGGAATTCCCTTGTGTAGTCTTTTTACTAGGGAAAATGTGTAGTAATTTGGGATGAAACCTGCTGGGTTGGAATCCTAGTTCCACAGGTTACTAGTTATGGAACTTTGGCAAGTTAATCTCTGTCTGCTTGTTTCTTCTTTAAATAGTGTTAATAATAGGACCTATCACATAAGGTAGTTGTGAGGATTTTATGGGTCATTGAGAGCAAAGCACCTAGCATGGTGCCAGGCACACTGTAGGAGCACAGTGCATGCATATTAGCTATATGTGGAACTTGTGACCCTTCTGCTGAAGTGAGGCAGAGCAAGTTACTTTATGGATTGAATGCCCTGCATGCAGTGTTCACACAAATATTTGTTAGTGCTCTGCTGAACAATTTCACTTTAGATTCTGAAACTTTAGTATTTTGATATAAAAGTGTTTGGTATGTATGATATTTTGATATATGAGATATATTGAACAGTGTAAGCTGAGAAATGGATAAATACATGGGTGTAAAATTCTGAGTACAGCTCCAACACATTGCATGTATTAGCTCTGTGTGCAGGTTTTAGAAGTCTGCTGGCATCTTACACCAGTGCATCCAAAAGAAATATAATGTGAGTCACATAGATAATATTTTTTAGTAGCCACATTTAAAAAGTAAAAGTATTTAATACTATATTTTAACTCATGTTATCCAGTCTTATAATTTTATTGTGTAATCAAGATTAAAAAATAGTTGAGACATTTTACATTCTTTTTCTCCAGAGTGTATGTTATATTTACAGCTCATCTCAATTTAGATTAGGCACATTTCAGGTGCTGAGTGTGGCTAGTGCTGCCATATTGGACAATGCATGTTTAAACAGTATAAACTAGCCAGCTGGCTAATGTGCAGGTGATTAGAGATACTTGGAATGTGTACTACTTTTAGGACATTTTAAATTTCATCAGTTGACTAGGATGTTTTTTTGTTTTGCTTTGCTTTTTAAAAAATCTAGAGCACTCTCTAATTATGAATGATACTGAAATTTGAGTTGTCACTTGATTGTTAAAACCTCTTGAGGTTTGGACAGAAGTAGTTACCTTGCAGGTGTTCCGTAGGGCCAAACTGCCAGTATAACGCTGGCCCTCATTATTTTAGGCACAGTCATTTCAGTTACTTATTGGTTATTGATTCTTGGAAGAAATAATTTTTATAGACTTATGGTGCTTACTTACAGTGCTTACACAGACTACCGTATTTAAATTTTTCTGTATATTTTCACTTCCCACACATCTATGTCAGAAATTGTGTATGATGTTTATGGTCAGATTTATTGCAGACAGAGTTGTAAAAACAAATTACTGGTATGTTCCACACTCACCAATCGCAAAGTGAATCCAAGGGCACTGGAATATAAGCTGCACAAGGACAGAGGGCTTTGTCTTTTAGCTGATAAATGCTACGCACCTAGAAGAGTCTCTCCATTTAATGGGTGCATGGTAGTGAATGAAGGCAGGCAGACAGACACGTAGTAAGTATAATCAGCATCCTCTAGAATTGGCTAGTTTTATTTTAACATTTCTTGTCTACCTACTTTCTGAGCATTAAATATGTGAAGTAGATTGAGGTCAGATTTTACATAAGAAAATCAGCTGTTTGGCTAATAGAGTAATTTTAGGGTAAAACTGGTCTTGGAAATTCAGATTGTTGAAGTATTTGCTAAAGAGAGTTACTGGTTTTGGATGAGCAGATTTCATTGGTTTGTTTGGCTATAACCCTGTTGGCAGTATGAGCTCAGGAAAGCATTACCCTTTTCGTGATATGGTAGTTACTTGGACTTGTCCCAAAGCAGAAATTTTTAGTGGGCTGTTTTACTGAAAGTGCTATCTTTTGGTGTTGTTAATCCTCCCTCCACCCCTCGACTTCATGTTACTTTTTCTGTTAGGACTGCCTTTCACTGGGAAATGGAGTCTCTGGGTTCCATGTAAAAAATTAAATTGGTGGGCTTCCTTGGTGGCGCAGTGGTTGAGAGTCCGCCTGCCGATGCAGGGGACACGGGTTCGTGCCCC